TGAGTCAGAAATAATTTCAAAAATATAATAATAAATTTCATTTATTCATTCTCGATTAATTTACGTTCTCATCAATTACTATTCGAAATTAAATTCTAATTAAAAAAGAAAACAACAAAAGTATGTTTAAAAATCTACTTATTTTGTTAATTTAAAAAACAAAAATGCTTCGATTACAAAATTACTATATTATAATATTTAAAATATAAAATTCTACATTGCAAAAAAATAGGGTAGATGACTGATTTTTATTTCAATGTCCGTCTGGTAGATTATTTTAAAACGTTAGACACGTATTTTTTATTTTCTTACAGAAACGAATACTTTCGACGATATATCGATTTGAAATATCGCGTGACGTCACTTCTATGTACGTTTTATACGTAGAAATGACGTAGTTAGCTCCCATTCCAAAACTTTGATTCGTTTTATCTAAGTATTGTTTTGTTATACGGCAAAAAATACGTGTCTAATATTTTTTCATTACCTAACTGACGGATTAATTAGATTTTTAATTTTGATACCCCGTCATCATTCCTATTGTCGAGTTAACAATACTCCTATATCATGCTTCTACTGAAAATTTGTATTTACCATATATGTTAAGGCACCAGTTTCTTCAGCAAGTACGTAAGTATATAAAAATTAATTTTGCTGTATATATTTGATGTTTACATGTTAACATTAGCTCATGACGATACCAGCGTACGTGTGTCACTGGACAGTGAACCTCGCTACCATCAGTTGACTGAACATCTACACTACACGAGTCACTGTTTACATGTCAACATTAGCTCATGACGATACCGGCGTACGTGTGTCACTGGACAGTGAACCTCGCTACCATCAGTTGACTGGACATCTACACTACACGAGTCACTGCTTACATGTGAACATTAGCTCATGACGATACCAGGTATGTGTGTCACTGGACAGTGAACCTCGCTACCATCAGTTGACTGGACATCTACACTACACGAGTCATGCTTACATGTGAACATTAGCTCATGACGATACCAGCGTATGTGTGTCACTGGACAGTGAACCTCGCTACCATCAGTTGATGGACATCTACACTACACGAGTCACTGCTTACATGTGAACATTAGCTCATGACGATACCAGCGTATGTGTGTCACTGGACAGTGAACCTCGCTACCATCAGTTGACTGGACATCTACACTACACGAGTCACTGCTTACATGTGAACATTAGCTCATGACGATACCAGCGTATGTGTGTCACTGGACAGTGAACCTCGCTACCATCAGTTGACTGGACATCTACACTACACGAGTCACTGTTACATGTGAACATTAGCTCATGACGATACCAGATGTGTACTGGACAGTGAACCTCGCTACCATCAGTTGACTGGACATCTACACTACACGAGTCACTGTTTACATGTGAACTAGATGTCGAAGCGTGTATATATATTTTTATATATATAATGAAGGCACATATACAATGCTTATCATAAAATAGTATTTAACACTTACCAATAAGGTTGTTTTTTCAATGTTATCTTCTACATAAGTGCAATTTTAGTAACATTATATTCTTGACTTTAGTTCTTTCCCAATATTATGATAGCTCAAAGCTTAAGGCACTTATAATTATGAATTAGGTACTCTTTAAGCCACAAAGGGGTAGGCAGAGATGCTTCATAAAGTGTAACAACAACTTTTCGCCAGTTATGGTATGAATCCCATGTTATAAGGGGTGAGCCTTGAGATTGGGCACTGGGAATTCCAAAGAATTATAACGCAGTAGTAAAAGTTCGGGAATCGAACCCAAAAGCCTGTCAGCAGTGAAATATTTATGTTAAGGTGACTTTTTCCGAGTTATATGTACTTTCTAAGATTATTTAGACACCACTGACAAACGATGAAGGAAAACATCGTGAGGAAACCTGGGCTTATAATTTCTAATTATAAGTTTGTAATCGCCAACCCGCATTGAGCAGGCGTGGTGATTAATGCTCAAACCTTCTCCGTGTGAGAAGATGCCAGCTCAGCAGTGGGACAGTTATATACTGATTTATTTAGTTACATATTTATCATTCGCTCATTTCGCTCCTATAGTGCAAGTTTCATCGAAATCGCTGTACCCGTTTCCGAGTTAAATACACACATATATGCACATTGTTCATTTAATATTTTAAATTATAATCATATTTATATAAATTTACGGTCAGAAACATTAATATTTTTATTATAATTACAAAAATATCTTCTATAACATGTCATAATATTGTAATTTGATTACATTTACGCCTTTTAGCCCCAGTGGGGGGACACAAAAATTAAAATATTGTCTCATAATATGTAACAGGGTTAGTCTGAGATCTCGCTATCATCTAGATGGTGTACAGGACATATGGAAGTCTTTTTATAGCCTAAGTAGGCGGATCACCTGATGGTAAGCAATCGGCGTCGCCCATGGACACCTTGAACACCAGAGGCGTTACGAGTGCGTTACCGGCCTTTTGGAGATTAGGAGTTTGAGGATTGTTGGGATTCATTGGGGAAGGGAGGGAGGTAATAGGGCCTCCGGTAACCTCACTCACACGAACGCAAGCGTAACTTTACTATTGTTTTCTGTAAGGCCGTGGTATCACTCCGGTCGAGCCGGCCCATTTGTGTCGAAGCATGGCTTTCCAACACTTAGCTATTTAGCTTGCCCCTTTTGTTTGTTGGAGTCAAACTTAGTAATTGTAATTTCACCCCCTTCCTGACGACAGATCGATCTGATATTTGGTACACACTCTTAATCTTGATGACCATCCTTACTAATATTATAAATCGGAAAGTGAGTTTGTTTGTTTGTTCCGCTTTCACGCCGTAACTACTAAACCGATTGCTTTGAATTTTTGCAGACGTAAAGTTAGAAGTCCGGATTAAATAATAGGGTACTTTTTATCCCGGAAAAATTTGATATTCCCGAGGGAAAACAAAAGAATTGGTATAGATGGCGCTGTGTGTATTGGTATATGTCACATAGGCTACTATTTATCCTTTTGTGACGCGAGCGAAGCTGCGGATAAAAGCTAGTACAATATAATCTAATTTGTTCGACAACTACCCCCATTATGGATAGAAAAAGAAAGGGCTTGATTGGTAGAACAGAGCTCTTCTATAAGCCGGTAAACGAGCAGACGGATCACCTGATGGTAAGCAAGCGGCGTCGCCAACACTAGAGGCGTTACGTGTTGCGAGCCATTTAGGGAAATACGTAAGTACAATAATTTTGGAAATGCTGTCAAAATTTGCGGGTCTGGAGTGTGATACAGTATATAACACTGTTTTTGAGTCGACCCGAGATTCAAACTCAACACCTATGCAAGCGAGCCCAGCGTGCCATCAGTGCCGTCACCGTTACCACGGATAGAGGTGCCTGGATCCGGCAGGGGGCGCGCTGGGACCGCACCGCCGCAGACTCAAGTAGCCAGTAGCAGCGACAGTCGCCGCGTCACGGATCGCGGAATGCTGCTCATGAATATGAGCCTCTAGCATGGCTTGAAACTAGTCGAGGTCCTCGTCAAACGAACATGAGTAAGTCGAAAACATGATAATGAATTAAGTAAAAACGCGGGTTACTCACGTGAATATACTGAGAAAAGCTCTACTAGTTTCGAACCACAGACGGGTTGTTCCTCATGAGCAGTGCGCGGTCGCGGCGACGTCGCGCAGCTCACTAGTAGAGCTTTTCTCAGTATATTCACGTGAGTAACCCGCGTTTTTACTTAATTTAGTATGTCTCACGATATTTATTATAAAAACATGATAATTAATATTGGAAAGGTTACAGAAATCTCATACAACCCTGTTACATATTACATTTATTAATGTATGCGTGTTAAAATTCATATATCTTTATTAACTTCTGCTAGCGGCTTCGTCCGCGTTTTTATAGGGTAAAAAGTACCCTATGTATAATTCCAAACCTGTTCTATGTTTCATCTTAATCCATTCAGCTAATCTCCGAAACTACTGGTCCGATTTGAATAATTCTTTCTGTGTTAGATAGCCTATTTATCGAGGAAGGCTATAGGCTATAAAATATTACGCTACGATTAATAGGCGCCGAGCAGAGCGAGTGAAACCGCGTGGAAGTAGCTAGTCTATAATATTAGTAGGATTACAAAATCGCTTTTTCCTTCTGTCTATGTATGTATAGATTTTTAAAACTACGCAACGGATTTTGGTGCTGTTTTTTTTTAATACATGCGAGTGATTCCAGAGGAGCTTAAATGTATAATTGTCAAACGAAACCGCGGGCCGAAGTTAGTTTTTCTTATAAAATAGGAAGACATGATTATTGTAACATTTTTTTCTTATAATTCATTGATTTCATAATAATAGAATTTTATATATGTATATATTTAACGACAAAAAATAATGATTATAATTAAATTTTACGGTATACAATACCGATTTTATTTAAGTCAAAAATATTAGTAGAAAATACATAATATTGTTAAGGGGGTAGACAGATGCCCCATATTACAGTTTAACACCCACTTTTCACTATTTATGTTATGAGTCCTATGTAATAGGGGACCCCTTTAACATATATAGGGCACACTTTTGAACTGTGTCTACTGGACTAAAATCTTAATATCAGATCCGGATTGAACCCAAGACATTTTGGTCAGCATTTGCAAAAACTATTAATTAGATTACAGACATTAGAAGTCCTCTCATTTATTGGTGATCTAACTATAATCACCGAGTAAATCGCCATGTGTGGGGATTATGACCAACTAGTCATTCGCATGGAAAAGTAATGAACATAACACTAGCAGTGTCTCCTTAATTATCGGTGATTTTAAACTATAATCTCCAACTAAATTGCCAAGTGTGGTGATTATAAAAATTTCCTTTAAAATTGAAAATATAGTTAGATAGATTGTTTTGTAAATTAAAATAATGTTATTTGAAGTACTATATTATGTATTTTCTATTAAAATATTTATCTTATATTTGTGTTAGTTTTTACTTTTTTAATAACTTTTCTTCTTCGGGATGTACTTCCTTGTCTGACTTGAATGTTGCGTTCGTATGGGGGCTGGCAGAAGTCGGTACGTACTGAAATTATAATAATTTTATAATTAGTACACATTATATACATAGAAATAAAGATAGATTAAAGAAAATAAGTCTCTGCACATGCAGATTATTATTATCTTCTTTTATTGTTTCATATTCAATATATTCATTCATTCAATTATTCAATCATTCATTCATTCAACCATTCATTCATTCATTCAGTCATTCATTCATTTCATTCACATATGCGCTTCACTGCATAAAAGGCAAATAAATAAAACAAAAACTAAATAAAAATCGTGGCTTATATACTAGGATTGTCTACTGTGTCGTGTGTACGTTTACAAACATACAAGTTCACATACACATGACACACAGACCATGAACAACAATTTGTGGATCACACAAAGAATTGTTCCGTGCGGGAATCGACCCAAGAACTCGTGTTAGAGACAGCTTAACTAAGGTCATATTTTTTATTAACCCCTCGAACGTCCTTATGAGCACCCGGTGGATCATAAGAAAAAATGCTCCATGCTGCTTTCTCTTTTATAAAATCTATTATTAATGTTTTGTTTTTATTTTGACTGCATTTGTTTTATTTCTATTGTAATGATCCTTGTTTTCGTGTGCCAATGGCCAAATAAATGCATTTTATTCCATGCATAAGGAACTCGGACGCTCGACGGGTTAAAAACTAAGCAATAATTTGATCAGCTCAAGCATCGAAACTTGATACATTTTTCTCGGCAAATAAAAAAACTGTTAATTATACCTACATGAATGGTTAAAAACTTTGTCGTACGAAGACACTGAGAACATTTTGATTAGAATTCAATAACAAGCATACAAACACCATACAAACAGATACATACACACATACATACATACATACATAAACTCACTCACTTACTCACTCTCTTTCTCTCTCTCACACACACACACATACACATACATGCACATCGATTTATTCATGTACTCTTACAAAAAAAAAATACAAATCAATTACTTTTAACATGTCATACCGTTCTACCATAGTTTTTATATTTATAACTTTTCTTTTTTTATTATTATTATTTTACTATATCTGCTGTAAATTTTGGTGTTTTCCTTTAATTAGCAGACTTAGAAGTTATTTTTCTTAAGAGTGTTAATTAAATAAAGAAAGGATGGAGTCAGTCCCAACACAAGTATTGTATAATAACTTACTGGGACTGCCTCGATGTTAGACAGATTGTGTAATTCTTAAGATAATAAAGAATTTTGAATTTTGTTTAATAAAGCTGACATGAAACTAAATTTCGTCAGCGGCTTCGCCCGCGTTTCCATTAGTTAAAAAGTGGCCTATGTGTTATTCCACACCATTATCTACCCTTGTTCCATATTTTATCCCGATACCTTCAGCTGTTAATAAGTAACAAACACACACACATGCATCCTCTATCTTTCGCATTTATAATATTAGTATAAGAAACTTAATTTAAAAACCATATTAAGCTAACATAACATCACGCCTTTTATCCCCGAAGATGTAGGCAGAGGTGCACATTATGCCACTGTACAATGTAACACCCACTTTTCACTATTTATGTTATGAGTCTCATGTAATAGGGGGTGAGCCTATTGCCATATACCGGGCACAATCAATTCCATACTCCGTGCTACTACTGAGATTTTTTTTAAAAACCCATGCAGTAATACTTTGCCCGATCCCGGGAATCGAACCCGAGACCCCTTGCCCGGCAGTTGTACTTGCGACCACTCGTCTAACGAGGCAGTCATATTAAGCTAAATATGTAATATTAATAAATAAAATGTATGTTTTACCATCACTCTAAGTTTTGCATGTATCCTTTATATAATGCAGCGTGAAAATATCAATATTATTAATAATTGTATTGTATGTAAAAACCAGATAATCATAGATCACTTTGACTTTAACTTTAGACTTTAAACACGTTGCTTTTGGCTTTGACTAATATTGACATTGACTTCGATATTAACCCTAATATATGACTTTGATATATGACATTGACTTTGATATTCACTTTAAATATTCTACAATTTTGATATTGACATAGACTTTGATATTAACTCTGATAGGTATACGACTTTGATATTCACTTTAAATTATCTACATTTTTGATATTGACATAGACTTTCATATTACTAACTCTAATATACTGCTTTGACATTTGACATTGACTTTGATAATAACTCTAATATACGGCTTTGATATTTGACATTGACTTTGATATTCACTTTAAATATTCTACATTGATATTACCTCTACTTTGATATTAACTCTAATAGGTATACGACTTTGATATTCACTTTAAATATTCTACAATTTTGATATTGACATCGACTTTGATATTAACTCTAATATACTGCTTTGACATTTAACATTGACTTTGATATTAACTCTAATATACTGCTTTGACATTTGACATTGGTTTTGATATTAAGTCCAATATACGGCTTTGACATTTGACATTGACTTTGATATTAACTCTAATGTACAGCTTTGATATTTGACATTGACTTACCGGTTTAGAATTGTCCTCGCGTTGCCTCTCCTCTCGGATCTCCTCAACACGGTTGTCGCCGTCGCGAAGCAACTGCAATAATAATTATAATACTTAGGAATATTGCATTTTATTAGTAAGGGGTAGACAGGAGTATAGGGTGAATGTAGGTAATAGTCACTTTATAATCAAGTCAATTTATAATCAGTTATGAGTCCCATGTATTTTAGGGGGGGGAGGGGGGGGTCTTCGAATGACTACTCCCGCCTGGGTGAGGCGGGAGGTAGTGTCAGACTCTTACTGACTAAAAACCACCCCGTTCCTTCTCCTGTACGTCGAGCCGGAGCCCCGGTTACCCGTTAGGTTCTCCGCGACGATTCCCATGTAATAGGGGGTTAACCCATTGCCACGTAATTTTGAAATTTTGTATGTCTGTACAAACAGAATGTGGCGTACTGTTACTTATTGGAACGTACCTAAAATTTTAACAAAATCTTATCTTATACTATTATATAAAACGGAAGAGTTTGTTTTTTTTTTATTGTTTTTTTTTAATCTCCGTAACTACAAGTCTGATTTGAATAATTCTTTTTGTGTTGGATAGTGCATTTATCGAGGATGGCTATAGGCTATAAAACATCACGCTACGACCAATAGGAGCTGAGCAGAGCGTGTGAAACCGCGCGGAAGTAGCTAGTAAATAAATAATATTTGTAGTTGTAAAAAAAGAAAAATACGCCATTTGACCCAGTGGAGGTGTTGAATAGGAGACATTTTACTCGACATGTCGTACTTATGATCACTCGATCAAACGAGGCAGTCATACAAACGCCACCTCTGCCATTTATTTCGAAAATTGCAACTTTGTGATATGAGGGCCAAGTACGAATAACTATCGCATTCGTATCGTAACAGTATCGAGCCAGTTAAGCGTTCTGATTGGTTGGTTCGCTTGAGCCGGCCAATCAGAGCGCCGAACGCCCTCGATACTATTACGTTACGAATGCGATAGTTATTCGTGCTTGGCACTATGATCGTAAAGAATCCCAACAGCTTATTCAATTTTGTAGGAAACAAACACATGGAAAATCCTAATACTATTTCCCCCGACCCAGAATTCACTCTTTATACAGGTATTTATGAATCGAGTACTTGCCAACTAGTCAAATTCAATACCTTTATCGAACTGTCAAAAACGACAGTTTTCTATTAATATTGTACGAGATTGTGTATTGTGACGTCACGTTTTTTTACCGTCAAACAGGATTGTTTTTTTAAAAAACGTTGCCCCACATTAGGATTCTCTCCTGTGTCGTGTGTGCGTTTAGAAACATACAAGTTCACATACACAATAACACCCAGACCCGAAACAACAATTTGTGGGTCACACAAAGTGTTATTCCGTGCGGGAATCGAACCCGCGACACGTTGCACGGCAGCCGGTTGCCCAGCCACCGCACCAACCGTGCAGTCGATTCTAGTCATAATTATTTCTTAAAAATTTACTGGAAATATACTAAAATTAAGTTTGTCATAAAATCAATTAATGAAAGTGTGTTATTTTTTTATATTTTATTGTATTGAACAGTCGAAATAGTTTACTTTTGATTAAGAAAAGTACCCAATTGTTTAATGTTCTTACCTTATCGACCTCCGGCTCGATTTGTTCGTTGGTGCCTCCTCTGCCAAGCACTCCCTTCTCCATCAAAGTGGCGCGCTTGGCGGCTAAGTACATTGATCTGAAAACAAATATAAACACATAAATCTTATACTATTATATAAAGCGGGAAGAGTTTGTTTTTTTGTTTGAACGCGCTAATCTCCGTAACTACAAGTCTGATTTGAATAATTCTTTTTGTGTCGGATAGTGCATTTATCAAGGATGGCTATAGGCTATAAACCATCACGCTACGACCAATAGGAGCTGAGCAGTGCGTGTGAAACCGCGCGGAAGTAGCTAGTAACTACATTACGAAACGAGACATTCGCGAAAAATTTACTTTAAATCAAAAGCGCATTCGGCTGTCTGTGTTTTTTATGGTATAAGCCGGTAACCGAGCAGACGGATCACCTGATGGTAAGCAATCGGCGTCGCCCATAGACACCTGGAACACCAGAGGCGTTACAAGTGCGTTACCGGCCTTTTGGGAAGGGAGAATTTGAGGATTTTTTTTAAAGGGGAAAAATCATCGAATGTCTTTTTCCGCCTGGGTGAGGCGGGAGGGAGTGTCAGACTCTTACTGACTGAAAACCACCCCGTTTCTACTCCTGCACTTCGAGCCGGAGCCCCGGTAACCCGTTAGGGCTTCCGCGGCTCCGTATCGAGCATCAGCTCTGTTGGGCCCCATCTGTGGTGGTCTGATGGCTCTTTGAGGCGCGCGCGGAACGCGACGCCCACGCCCACGCCACGCTTACGGTGGCAGGAGATCGTCCCGCGATCCCCGACGCCCGGAGTGTCCTTCGCGATGGCTGGGGCGTGAGGAGATTGGTTCCCTCGCTCCACCTCCTTAGCTAGCATGACTGCTTCGTAGAAGGAGGAGACGGCATCCCAGTCCCTTTCGCTCCGTACCATAGTCCATACCATAAGTATATGTACATAGATTGAGAACTGACCTCTTAATAGTGAGGTAGTATAGTTCAGCGATGGCTCTGACAGAGTAGTCCGGCACGAAGGAGTGACGCAGCATGGAGTCCATGTTCAGATTCTGCAGCGAGCCCAGGGTCGAGGGTGCTGGTGCTTCAGCTGAAATAAGATACATTTATCATCAGTAACAGCCTATAAGTGCCCACTGCTGAGCAAAGCCTTTTCTAACACGGAGAAGGTTTGAGCATTAATCACCACGCTTGCTCAATGCGGGTTGGCGAATTCAAACTTATAATTAGAAATTATAAGCCGAGGTTTCCTCACGATGTTTACTTTCACCGTTTGCCAGTGGTGTCTAGATAATCTTAGAAAGTAGGAATGTAGTTAAAATACATTATTTAGAAATATTTGATTATGATACGTTTTTTTTAAAGAGGTTCGACGACTTTCGAGCGAGAACGGGGCGCATAACTATGAACTCCTTTTTAAGGCAATTAATTACACTTAAATATTTAAGTATCCAGTTTTATAGTAATCACAGTTTGTGAATACAGACAGACAGACAAATTTCCGTGGTGTTTGCCGACTGGGCTTCACCCAGTTGTACAGTCTTTTCTTTGTGCCTTTAGGCTTAATTCATTCTGTCTCCTACAGTAATACACCGAGGGAAGTTGAAACTATCGTTTTTTTTCTTTTCCTCTTGTAATATCTTCTGATTCACTTCGTTGCGGGAATCAAGACAGTTACTTATGTCCCTGGGACGCGCGGGACTTCAGTGTCCCGGTGTTTTCATGGTTGTATCTACTGTAGATCCTGGCTTACAGGAGTTGCAGCGGTTTTGGGAGGTTGTGGTGGGCTTGTCTCATTTTTTTTTAATGGCATAAGCCCGCCACAACCTCCTGTATATCCTAAAGTCTCAATTAATAAAAAAGAAAGACAGACACATAGACGGAGTAGAAATGAATAGTTACCTAGTCCTACGTTCTGCGTGAGCGCCTGTACGCCGAAGTAAGTGAATGGTCCGGCCTCGAACACCAAGTTCTCGCGCCCCACCGTCACTTCCACGCGACCTTCCAGGATCAGGACGAAGTAATCCACCTGAAATTTAAAAAAAAAAAACATTTTTATTCACTGAAGGGTTATAGGTTTTTTTTTTAATGGGGGAAAATCATCGAATGACTGCTCCCGCCTGGGTGAGGCGGAAGGGAGTGTCAGACTCTTACTGACTAAAAACCACCCCGTTCCTTCTCCTGCACGTCGAGCCGGAGCCCCGGTTACCCGTTAGGTTCTCCGGGACATTGAACATGACTAGTTTTTATGTACCCAAATGTAAATTTTTAGAAAAAATATGCTAAAACTAGGAATTGAATTCCACTTACCGGCTTTCCTTCAGAGAACACGTATCTCTTAGGGTCGTTCCTGTCCTCGTCACCTCGCAGTTTAATGTGTTGTATGACATCCTGCTTCAGCAGACGACGGAGCACCGTCTCAGAGATATGGTCCACCTTAAATGGATCCACGCCTGGGGACAAAGTTATTGTTATTACTAGCTGACCCGGCAAACGTTGTTTTGCCATATAAATAATTACTAAAATGGCTATTAAAAAATAAGGGTTGATCGTAGAAGGGTGAAAATTGAGGATTGTATGTATTTTTGTATGTTGTATCATAAAAAAATAGAAATTAAAAAATTTGTCTAAATAATTAAAAAAAGTTTAGAGGTGGACTACCCCTAATATTTAGGGGTATGAAAAATAGATGTTGGCCGATTCTCATAGATACCGGATAAGCACAAAAAATGTCATCAAAATCGGTCAAGCCATTTCGGAGGAGTATGACAACGAAAACTGTGACACGAGAATTTTATATATTAAATGGTCTTTCTAAGAGATCAGCTAACTTAACATAAAATAACATCCTCGACGGGATTTTTTTTTTTTTTTTTTTTTTTTTTTTTTTTTTATTAAAATAACATCCTCGACGGGATAGGGGCATTACGGCACTTAATACCACTGTACAATGTAACACCCACTTTTCACTATTTATGTTATGAGTCCCATGTAATAGGGGGTGAGCCTATTGCCATATACCGGGCACAATTCCAGAGTCCGTGCTACTACTGAGAATGTTTTAAAAACCCTATAGTACTGCCGATTTCAATAACCGATCCTGATCGAAAATCTCTGGATACTAACCCCGCCGCCCTCCCCAATCTCCCTATCCTGAATCCACAACACAAATTCCTAATATCCAAAAAGTCGGTAACTCGGTCGAACTTATAACACCTCTGCAGCTGTAGCCAAATGCCATTTAGCGCTTGTCTACATGTAAAATAGAAAACTAAATTATATAGAATTGACGTAAATTTTGACACTTGTCAGTGTCATCCCCATACATTTAGTTTTCTATTCTCTCGGTAGACAAGCGCTAAAGTAGCGCTTAGCTAAAGGCACTGCTGTTCCAGGTGTCTATGGGCGACGCTGATTGCTTACCATCAGGTAATCCGTATGCTCGTTTACCGGCTTATGTTATATAAAAAAAAACATTTTTCTAGATACCCTAGTCAACTTACTAGTGCTCAAGAACTGGAAGGTAGCCAGCACCAGCTGTGGAGACACGTGGACGCGCTGGTGCTCATGATGGCCAGCGAATGCAGCCAGATCCTGGAACTTGTTGAGTGGACGGGCCAAACGCTTCTTCGTGCGGTTGTCACCTGAAGAGAAATTATGTATCAAGTCAAAGTTCATCCTTACTTAATATTATAAATCGGGAAGTAACTTTGTTTGTTTGTTTGTTTGTTTGTTCCGCTTTCACGCCGTAACTACTAAACCGATTGCTTTGAATTTTTGCAGACGTAAAGTTAGAAGTCCGGATTAAATAATAGGGTACTTTTTATCCCGGAAAAATTTGATATTCCCGAGGGAAAACCAAAGAATTGGTATATATGGCGCTGTATGTATTAGTATATGTTACATAGGCTACTTTTTATCCTTTTGTAACGCGAGCGAAGCCACGGGTAAAAGCTATATATAATCATAAAACTGCAGACCTCCTTTTTTGAAGTCGATTAAAAACGAGTACTTACTGATAACATCAGTTTCGTCTACAATTTCAGCCTGGATCATCTCCTCGATGACGTCTTCTAGGGTGACCAGACCAACTGTCTCATACACTGGATCACCATCTCCTTCCTCGATGCGCTGGACGAACGCCATGTGGCCTTTGTGACCTGGTGACATAGGAAAAATTAAATTGATAACCTGGGTATCTTCAAGGCCCTGTGAAGGCCTTAGGCGTGCTCCATTGTAGACCGCATTGTACCACCAGGCGAGACAGTGAAAAAAAATGAGTTAAGAATATTTTGAACACTATACTTTAAGTGTGGGAAAGCCATGCTTCGGCACGAATGGGCCGGCCCGACCGGAGTGAAACAAGTGAATTTATTTCTGCAAATAGGCTACAAGGCAGCACTTTATACGTCAATTTTATCAAGCGAACGATGAGGTCGACATTTCCTAACTGGCTATTCTGAGAAGAAATGCCGAAACAAACTCAGTAATACCACGGCCTCACAAAAGACCGACGTGAAACAACGCCTGTGTTGTGTTTCTTCGCGTGAGTGAGGTTACCGGAGGCCCAATTACCCATCCCCCCCCTTTCCCAATCCCTAAATCCCCAACAATCCTCAAATTCCTAATCCCAAAAGGCAGGTATCGCACTTGTAACGCCTCTGGTGTTCCAGGTGTCTATGGGCGAGGCCGATTCCTTACCATCAGGTGATCCGTCTGCTCGTTACAAAAGAAATGCCTTCGTTACAAAGCATACAGTTTAGTATGATATCTCTGTACTGAATGAACCTTTATTTTCTTATTTGCATACCTCAAAATCTGGTTGACTATTTATTTAAAGGTAATATAGCCGGCAATTATTTATGCAATCAAAATAATTAACTGCACATAACAATAATTCACAGCGTGCCGCGAGTTCGATTCCCTCACGGAACAACTCTTTGTGTGATCCACAGATTGTTGTTCCGGGTCTGTGTGTCATGTGAATGTGAACTTGTATATTTGTAAACGCACCCACGACATAGGAGAAAACCCTAGTGTTTGGCAACATTTATACAAAAATAAATAAAGACCTGTATAACATCTAAATGAATCACTGAATGAAAAGAACGGAAGACCGAATGAATGAACGCAACTCTCAACTAATTTCGTTCATTCGTCTGCGAACACAGAGAATACATAGGTACAGAAAGATAAACAAAGGAATACTTGTCTGTCCAATAAATTATATAATTTAAATAAATAACACGTCTAAAGCCCAGTGCACATTCGCGGAGGCGCAGCAAAGATATTGAAAACATATCAATCTTATACTATTTAATAGTAACTATTATATAAAGCGGAAGAGTTTGTTTTTTTGTTTGTTTGTTTGAACGCGCTAATCTCCGTAACTACAAGTCTGATTTGAATAATTATTTTTGTTTTAGATAGTGCATTTATCGAGGATGGCTATAGGCTATAAAACACCACGCTACGACCAATAGGAGCTGAGCAGAGCATGTGAAACCGCGCGGAAGTAGCTAGTTTATAATAAGCCTTAAATACTACGACATTAGAATGAAAACGGCATGTTTTAGTGGGAGGTGCGCGGCTTCGTCCAGCTACTTTCAACTTTATTATGCTTTTCATCCGTATTTCATAGCAGTTAAGGTTTATTTTAAATTGATTTATTATTAGTATCTTCGCCGCGTCCGTCGGTTTGCGCTAGGCCTAAATAAATGACTCATTGGTCGGCCTTGAGCTACTAGCTAGGTAAATATTTAACGTTGATACTATAGAATGGTTTGGGTTAGACGTAAAATATAATGGATTATATTTATACACTAGTATAGGGCTCCTCCCGCATAGATGATAGCGTGATAATATGTAGCCTATACCTGACTAGTCAGCAATATTCATGCAAAATTTGAAGTAAATTCATGCAGTACTTATTGAGATCATCCCGGACATATATGTATACAGACAAACAGACAAAAATTCTAAAAACCATATTTTTGGCTTTGGTGTCGATTGTAGATAAGTATTCCAAGTATTCTTATAAAAAAATATTCAATGTACAGTTTTGACTTTTCTGCGATTTTATTATATGTGTATAGAATATAGATATATGTAGATAGAAGATAGATAAATACTGGTTTGCTGCAGCTCTATTAAGTCCTGAAGCAGTGGTGTAACTTAACTTAACCGTTCGGGCCCGTGGTAAATGCATCGGTATATTTTTATGGAACAAGCCGTCAAACGAGCAGACGAAACACAACGCAAGCGTTGTTTCACGTCGTCGTTCTGCTCGGCCGTGGTATCACTCCGGTCGAGCCGGACCATTCGTGTCGAAGCATGGCTTTAGGCGATTGCTCACCATCAGGTGATACGTCTGCCCGATTTCCGACTTATCCGATTAAAAAAATAAACTAAATTGAATTCAAAAATGAAGAGTTAATGACCGTTTTCTATTGCACATTTTTTTATTGTATTAATTTTATTGTCATCAATGTTATTTTATTTTTTTATCTCTTGGACTGGACATTGGTGTTACATTGTTCCCACATAAATGAACTAACGAAATAATGTCACCAAGAATTGTACTGTGATTGAAAAAGAGTAACCTATGGAGTTTCTTGCTCGTTCTTCTCCATAGGAATTTACACTTTGGAACGAGCAAATAGAGCAACTAAAGGACTGACAGACATTCTGTCATTTTTTAATATTTCAATATGTTGTTTTGACGGTCAAAGTGCCTTAACCCATACATCCCCAAGCGGTCACCGGTGACCGCTCTTCACTAACTACATTATAGACCTTATTTCCAATATTTAAAGACTACTTTTGTATGAACAAATTTAGGGGATGAATTTCAACGAGTAAGGTGCTCCCTCGCCGGGACATTCGCGTGTAACGTATCGTTACAGGTCTGAGCATTACATCAGTGAAGGAGGACCGAGCGTTACATTGCGCGCCTTGTAACGATACAATGTGTAATGTCTTGATACAACTTGTAACATCAATGCGCTTCACTTCCCCCCGCCCCCCGCCCGCCCGCTTCGTCTGACATCTTGCTATGAAATGCTCAAAGACGAATCAATATGTTACATTACACGCAAATGCTCGTTAGTCAGGGAGGTATTATTGTAATGTAATGCTCAAAGTCGAATCTATAATGTTACATTAGACGTGAATACTTCCCTTTACTGGTCTATTAGAAATTTTATTTATTTATTTAAACTTTCAATGTATACAGAAACAAGTGATGGTACATAAGGCGGACATTAATGCCATATGGCATTCTCTCCCAGTCAACCTTAGGGTTAAAATGGAAATCGGCGAAAAAATAGGCATGTGTAATTATTAGAAACAAATAACATAAATAGACTTTATAAATATAGAAAGGTAATATAGAAATGAATGATTTTGATTTTGATTTTGTGAAGGTATCTTACCTTCCTTAAACTGCTTCAGCATGACATCCAAGGTGATGTCCTCGAAGACGAAGTTGCAGGGGTTCTGGTAGTACTGGCAGAGCGTCCGCAGCGGAGTGTTGTCGTCAGGGTCCACGAAGGCCAGGTCCTTGATGAACAGCACCGTCACTATGTTGCCGCGGGTGCCTTCGTATACTGGGATGCGGGAGTAGCCTGGAACGAGAGAATATTATATTATGAGCTGGAATTAATAATTGATTGTCCTTTTAATGGATCTTTTTGGTTAATATACTAATGGTCTATCAATCATCATCATCAACCTGGCTATGCTATATTAAATTGGTATGTAAGTGGTTATTGTAGTATTTGATAATGTTTTTGTGCCATATTAAGGTAAAAAGTTAAAAATATTTTAATTTTTTTCTTTTGTAACTTTAAAACAAATTCATAAAAATAGTTATGTAAGATTTGAAATAATTAAATTATTGCAGACTGCCTCGTTGGCCGAGTGGTTGCAAGTTCGACTGCCGGTCAAGGGGTCTCGGGTTCGATTCCCGGGTCGGGTGAAGTACTACTGGGTTTTTATAAATTCTCAGTAGTAGCACGGAGTCTGGAATTGTGCCCGGTATATGGCAATAGGCTCACCCCCTATTACACGGGACTCATAACATAAATAGTGAAAAGTGGGTGTTACATTGTACAGTGGCATAATGTACACCTCTGCCTACCCCTTCGGGGATAAAAGGCGTGATGTTATGGTTATGGTAAATTATTGCATTAATTAAAAATATTATTTTGTAAGTATAGTAAGTACTTTTGCGGTGCCCAAATGGGCCTATAGTTGGAACATATTTTGTAAAAAATTGTAAACAACCCTGTACACACTATAGATGCATTAAAGTGATTTGAATTGAATTGAATTGAATTGAACTTATATGCCCACTGCTGAGTATAGCCTCGTCTCACACGGAGAAGCTTTGAGCATTAATTACCGCGATTGCTCAATGCAGGTTGGCGATTACATTATAATTAGAAATTATAAACCTAGGTTATCCTCACGGTGTTTTCCTTCACCGTTTGTCAGTGGTGTCTCAATAATCTTAGAAAGTACATATAACTCGGAAAAAGTCACATTGGTACTTGCCGTTGGTAGGTTTCGAACCTCAGGGCCACCACGGCACCCATGTTATGAGGTCACCTCCCATTGAATAGGGGATGAGCCTAATGCCAGATATCGGGCACATTTCCAGACTCTGTGCTACTACTGAGATTTTTTTTAAAAACCCCTTGCCCGGCAGTCGCACTTGCGACCACTCGGACATGGAGGCTAAGAGGAGAGAAAGAGGGAGAGGGAGATAAAGAGAGAGAGAAAGAGAGAGAGAAAGAGAGAGAGAGAGAGAGAGAGAGAGAGAGAGAGAGAGAGAGAGAGAGGAGAGAGTTCTAACAAAATATAACCAAAAATGTCCGACTTACCAGACTTGACAATTTCAGACATAGTCTCGAAGTCCAGGATGCTGTTGATGGGCAGCATGAAGCAGTCCTTGAGCTTGGTCATCACGTCGCTGACCTTTTTCTTGCGAAGGTCGAGGGCACCAGAGATGATGTTCACCTCTTCTTTATCCAAGTCGTTCACATGGTCTGTTACCTGTGTGTGAAATATTCAGTAAGTAATATACTTTACCAGCCAGTTTAAAATTCAAGGGGCTCCTAAGCCAAGTGACACTTAACACTTTGAGTACCGTCATTATAGACACAATTAAAGAACAATAGGTTGCGGTCACCGGTGTCCTCGCGGTGTTTGACAGTTTAATGACATATTGGTTTTCATCCTTACTAATATTATAAATCGGAAAGTGAGTTTGTTTGTTTGTTTGTTTGTTCTACTTTCACGCCGTAACTACTAAACCAATTGCTTTGAATTTTTGCAGACGTGAAGTTAGAAGTCTGGATTAAATAATAGGGTACTTTTTATCCCGGAAAAATGTGATATTCTCGAGGGAAAACGAAATTATTGGTATAGATGGCGCTGTGTGTATTGGTATATGTCACATAGGCTACTTTTTATCCTTTTGTGACGCGAGCGAAGCCGCGGGTAAAAGCTAGTAAACCTATAAGTGACACCTAAAGGTAAAGGTAAGAGGTTGGTTTAGGTACTCCCTCCGGGTTAAGTAACTCTTAGTAAAGCGATGGTTTAGGGTGGCGATTGATGGAAGCGGTCATAAGTCTTTCGTAAAGGTTTTCGTGTATTAATTATCGTGATAAATGTTAAATTCAAATTATATATGGCTTAAGTAACGCTTTAGTATACAAACATAATCATTACACAGCATTATGAGTCCACAGTGTAGCTCGAAACTAATCGAGCATGTTCAAAAGCGTTTTTTTTTATGGAATAGGGAATCGAACCCGTGCCACGTTGCGCGGCAGCCAGTTGCCCAGCCACCGCGCCAACCGTACAGTCAAAGTGTTTAAATAAATCATTTTACATCAAATATCCTATATTATACATCAAATATCCTATATATATCAATTTTAAGGGGGGGGGGATCATACTATTAATACTCGAGCCTGGGTGAAGCGAGAGGGAGTGTCAGACTCTTACTGACTATAAACCACCCCGTTCCTACTCCTACACTTCGAACCAGAGCCCCGATAACCCGTTAAGTCCTCCGCGGCTCCGTATCGGCATCAGCCCTATTGGGAACCATCCATGATTCTATTAACACTTAGCCAGAAGGACAGGTGTCTACAATAATAAGTCAAGTCATCATTAGGATAACACCTCAATTCACCACATAATAAGGTACAAAATCGATACATACCCTGACCAACTCCTTTAGGCGCTCCCTGTTGTAATGTGTTCCGATTTCCTCACCCAGGAAGTAATCCAGGAGCTTGCTGGTCGGCCACGCCAGTGGGGCGCAGATACCCATCACGATCTGGAAACATTCGAGAACAATATTTAAAAAAAAACAGCAATATTAGTTCAAAACCATTCATTGGAGAACAATTTTAGACATGTCGTGGTGGCCCGGAGGTAAGACAAAACCTACCAACGGCAAGTACCAATGTGACTTTTTCCGAGTTATATGTACTTTCTAAGATTATTTAGACACCACTGACAAACGGTGAAGGAAAATATCGTGAGGAAACCTGGGCTTATAATTTCTAATAATTATAACATCTGAAACTACTGGATCGATTTGAAAAAACATTTTTTTTTTGTTTGTTCAAAGTTCAAACAAACAAACTTCTCAGTTTAACGTAATGAGTAAAAGATTTGTGTTTTTAGTATTTTCTACTGTTTTGTGAATGCATTTTCAAATACGTTTACACCTGGACACGAAATAACAATTAATTAATAATTGACCCTCCGGTAACTTCACTCACACGACAAAACATAACGCAAGCAACTTTCACGTCGGTTTTCTGCTCGGCCGTGGTATCACTCCGGCCGAGCCGGCCCATTCGTGCCGAAGCATATACACTTATTAAATTAAAATCAATTAAAAAATTGCACCCACCTTCATAATCCAGATACTCTTAGCACCAACAAACAATCCATGCCTTGCGCAGACGGCTTGAGGAGTAATTTCAGCAATGAACACAATAGCCAGGGTCGAGCCAATAACAGCCACCAGACCAGACGTCAGATCATCAAGAATAACAGTGAACGTGCTGTTGACGGCGACGTTAGACAAAAGAATTGTACATAGAAGATAGTTTCCATGAGCCCTGACCGGCATGATTGCTCTGGCATATTTCCTCTCCTTCTCAGTTCCAGTATTAGCTATGATCTTCAACTCAGTCCTATCCAAAGCCATCAGACCCAAATTCAAACCGGAGAAGAGAGAAGCCAGAAGCAGTAGGATTATGATCAGGATAATTGAAGCCCATAGAGGTAAGAGTTTGTTATGTGTGGCCAAAATCTTCCATTTTTCGGAACCTTGGTGCAGGAAATGCTCTTTTTCGGAGTTTTTCGCGCAGATGTAGAATTTGTAGTCGTCTAGTGGGGGAGGGGCGATCATTGAGAGGAGTGCGGAGTTCGCTTCGGCGTAGGACACCTGAAAAAAAGAGATAACGGTAAATGTATATGTTGATTTTTGACGCAATAATTCTTTTTGCTGCCTCGTTGGCCGAGTAGTCGCAAGTGCGACTGCCGGGCAAGGGGTCTCGGGTTCGATTCCAGGGTTGGGCAAATTATTACTGGGTTTTAAAAAAAAATCTCAGTAGTAGCACGGAGTCTGGAATTGTGCCCGGTATATGGCAATAGGCTCACCCCCTATTACATGGGACTCATAACATAAATAGTGAAAAGTGAGTGTTACATTGTACAGTGGCATAATGTGCACCTCTGCCCCTTCGGGGATAAAAGGCGTGATGTTATGTAATTCTTTTTGACCGTTTTTGAAGTCAGTTAATTAATATACTAAAGCTTTCTTCTAAGTGTACCTAACAAATACTTATGTGAAAACCACATCAAAATCAGTTCCACACATCGTGAGATAGTTGCGCACAAACACACATACAGGTCAAACTGAGAGCCTCGTTCTTTTTTTGAAGTCGGTAAAATCTATGTAATTGGTCCTTTTTGCGACAACCTTTTTTCTTGCTTGGACTTGTATTGAAGGCATTCACAAGGTTACGTTTTACTATCTATATTATTTTAATCACCTTTCCCTTTAGAAAATCGTTGCCCCACACTAGGATTTTCACCTGTGTCGTGGGTGCGTTCGTAAAAAACATGATTCTTTTTTTTACGGCATAAGCCGGTAAATGAGCAGACGGATCACCTGATGGTAAGCAACGTCGCCAATTGACACATGAAACACCAGAGGCATTACAAGTGCGTTACCGGCCTTTTAGGGATTAGGTGTTTGAGGATCGTTGGGGATTCAGGAATTGGGGAGATTGGGGAAGGGGAGGGGGCCTCCGATAACCTCACTCACACGACGAAACACAACGCAAGCGTCACTTCACGTTGGTTTTCTGCTCGGCCGTGGTATAACTCCGGTCGAGCCAGCCCATTCGTGCCAAAGCATGGCTCTCTCACATACATATCCAATATTTTCAAGACTTAGCACTAATTTTGCTTAACAATATAAATGTGAAAGCTTATGTGTTTGTGTGTATGTTTGTTACTCAATTACGCCAAAACTGCTGAACTCGTCAGAATGAAATTTGGAACAGGGATACTCATAAGGTCTGGAATACCACATACGGTACTTTTTATCCCACGGCAAAACCGCGGGCAGAAGCTAGTAAAGTCTTAGAGGCCGTTCAAATATTACGTAAGCAGATTTTTTACAATTATTAACCCCCTTCCCCCCATCCCCCTTGTCAGCAAAAGTAAGCAAAGATCTTACCCCCTCCCCCTATGCTCACGTAAACATTTTAAATTATATATTTTTTATATTGTAATTTTGATATCCTCCAAGATACCATAATGTAGTATCTATATATATCGGTATATATAATATCTATATGTATAATATCTATATATAATGTCGGACTTTGCTTGTAATTTATAATTTCAATATGAGGGTATTCGTGTAAAAAAGTAAATAACTACCGATGACGTAATCGCCATCTAGACTCCCCTACCCCTCATATCATCCGAAATAAGAAAAACAGAGACCCCCTCGTGGTGCTTACGTAATACTTGAACGGCCCTTTAGAAGAAAATTAAAAAAACAACCCACCTTATATTCTCCATTTAGAAGATGATCACAAGTATCGCCATAAGCCGCTGGGGTATGTGTAAAAGCAATAATTGTATCATTGGTAAAATTCTCTCCAAAAAGTCTTAAAAAGAAATGGGTTTCACGAAGAACACTAGGAATTAAATCGTCTACAATTTTCGGTTCCTTCTCCGACTCTTCAACCCTCAGACCCATCAGTTTGATAGCTCCTTCTGGATGGACAAATTTGGGGCCTAAACTTGAGTTCACAGTAGCATTCGAGTCTACAGCAGTTTCGACTGGTGCGTCCGAGGTGTCAGCGACTTCTGGAGCTGCTGTGGTCGGTGCATCAGCTTGGCGACGGATCCTTTCGTGGTTTGGTGCATAGGAATCTTCAATGATGCTGGTGAAGTCATCATCTTCATCTTCGATCTCGTTTTCGATTGGTCTGTAACAAATTAATAAGGTTTTAGTTAATTGTTGGTGCTTGCATACATTGTGTTTACTTCGTTTTCGTCCCGAAGTATAATGGTTCTGTCTTGGTAATACAATATTTTTACAAAGAAATAAAATGTTTAAAACAAAAAATAACTGGTGAACCATTACTAAAAGCAAACTTCGAAAGCGCATACGAACTCATAGTGCGTTATGAAAACATCACGTCATGTAATTCCCGAAAAGGTATTTCTCGTCGGGTGGCACGTGCGATGCGAATAGTGCCTACAAATTTACGTCTAGTGATTCATGTGCGTATTTCCATGATTTTTTTTTTATACAAAAAAATGACATCTTTATTTCTTTGTTTTTACTTTATACATAGAAAGTACTCTTTATGGCAGAATGTTTTGCCGCGGGACGGAAACGCAATAGATACCTCTGGTGTATATGATATTTACGTGTATAAATCGTATTTTTAGTTAATTTAATATGCTTTTTTCAAGGGGGGAAAATCATCGAATAACTGCTCCCGCCTGCTAACTGGGTGAGGCGGGAGGGAGTGTCAGGCTCTTACTGACCACCCCGTTCCTTCTCCTGCACGTCAAGCCAGAGCCCCGGTAACCCGTTAGGTTCCCCGTGACAATTTAATATGCCTTACGATAACTAATATATTATATCGTTGCACAATTGTATAAATATAAATCCAATCTCATTAATATTGATGTTTCAATCGTTTATTATAGTTTCAATGTCAAGTTTAACATCAGAACTATCTTCAAACATGTAAACTAGATGTAAGGCCTCAAGGTTACTATTACAGGATAGGAAACAAAGTAATTTTACGTCAGTACGATATTCATAACATAAGGGTAAAATTATCGTAAATCATTAGACACGTATTTTTTATTCTTACAGAAACGAATACTTTCGACGACATATTGATTTTAACATGACGTCACTTCTATGTACATTTTATACGTATTAATGACGTTTTAACCCCCACTCCTAAATTTGTTATATCTAAGTATCATTTTATTATACAACAAAATAATAAAATACGTTCTTATTTTTTCATTACCTAACTGACTAATTACATTTTTAATTTTCATACCCTGTCGTCATCCCTATTGTATTGTGAAATTGTGAACCTGATTGAAAAAGAGTAACCTATGGAGTTTCTTGTTCGTTCTTCTACATAGGAATTTCACTTTAAATTTTTGTTTACGTTCAAAAGTGCCTTTCTGGTCTAAGGGCAATTTTTCAATGGTCGATAAATTTTTACTAAGAAATAAGGTATAACTTCTAACATTCGACATATTTTCCATACTAAAAACTGTCAACCGTAAATTTTATTCTACAGTTAAGAATGAACTGATGACTGCCGGCAAGGGGTCTCGGGTTCGATTCCCGGGTCGGGCAAAGTATATACTGGGCTTTAAACAAATCCTCAATGGTAGCAAGGAGTCTGGAATTGTGCCCTGTATATGGCAGGCTCACCCCCTAATACATGGGACTTATAACATAAATAGTGAAAAGTGAGTGTTACATTGTAGAGTGGCATTAAATGCCGTAATGTGCACCTCTGCCTACCTTCAGGGATAAAAAGTTATGTTGAAAAATCGGTTCTAATCGAAATAAATGATGTTGTCTTTTGACTTTGACTTTAGAGGTGTTAGTGAAACCGGCTATTAGGAAAGTAAAGAATAGACTTCTTTATACCAGTCGCGGAGACCTAACGGGTAACCGGGGCTCCGGCTCGACGTGCAGGAGAAGGAACGGGGTGGTTTTTAGTCAGTAAGAGTCTGACACTCCGTCCCGCCTCACCCAGGCGGGAGCAGTCATTCGATGATTTTCCCCCGTTAAAAAAAAGTACTTCTTTATACCAGCTGGCAAATGCTAGTAAGTGGCGCCTCCCTAACCTTATTGTTTAAGTATATGTCAAGTATTTTGTGTTTGTTTGTCTGTATTGATTTCGAGATAAAGAACGGACAATATTGATTCAGCTCTCTACTGTCCCCATTTTCCTGGCTATTGTATTAACAAAGATTGTACCTATTATGTACCTCTATACCTATTATGTCTGTCGAGGTGGCTCGGAGGTTTAAGACGCCTGCTTCTCATGCATGAGGGTGCGGGTTCGAAACCTACCAACGGCAAGTACCAATGTGACTTTTTCCGAGTTATATGTACTTTCTAAGATTATTTAGACACCACAGACAAACGGTGAAGGAAAACATCGTGAGAAAACCTGGGCTTATTTCTAATTATAAGTTTAAAATGGCCAACTCGCATTGAGCAAGCGTGGTGATTAATGCTCTAACCTTCTCCGTGTGAGAAGAGGCTTTGCTCAGCAGTGGGCATTTATAGGCTGTTGATGATGATGATGATGTACCTATTATGAATCATTTCATATTAATAATACATGCAATTTATAATGTAAAAATGTTATAACATCACGCCTTTTATCCCCGAAAGGTAGGCAGAGGTGCACATTATGCTACTGTACAATGTAACACCCACTTTTCTTGCCATATACCGGGCACAATTCCAGGCTCTGTGGTACTACTGAGAATTTTTTAAAAACCCCGTACTAATTAGGGCGACCCGGTAATCGAACCCGAAACCCCTTGCCCGGCAGTCGCACTTGAACAAGGTTATAACCTTGCTCAATGCGGGTTGGCGACTTCAACCTTATAATCAGATATTATAAGTCCAAGTTTCCTCACGATGTTTTCCTTCACCGCTTATCAGTGGTGTCTAAATAATCTTAGAAAGTCTTGAAAACAGTCAAATTATACTCGCCAACCCTCATGCTTAAGAAGGAGACGTCTTAACACCTCCTGGCCACCACGACGTTATTCTCTACACGCGCAGTCAAGTCGACCTTGGATCATAATACGCAAAAATTGGAAACCATTTAATAATATTTACGGCTGACCTAATTCCCAAATAATAGGTGTCTCGGGAACATAAATCTAGATATTAAGAGCCATTATTTCGACGATGATGATGGATAAGCTTTTACGATCAATTTACTTATTTACGGCAGAAAAATATGGTATAGTTGGCGTGAATATATAAAGCTAAGGATACACTAGGGGATATTTGTCCCAAAACATGTATCGGCGACTTGTCGAGCGAAGTGGGCCGATGTCGCCGAACATGTTATAAGGCGACAACGCGCAACTAGTGTCCACAGCGACGTTAATGTTGTGATGGTGGATCCACACAGTCCGGCGGCACTGCCGGCGGGTTGACAACTAGCAAAGCCCGGGTAAGCGCCGCCGGCAAGCGTCGCCGGCAAGCGCCACCGATATTGTTAGTTGTCTTGTGACTTTTAGTGAAATAAGAAGCGTAAGCAGATATTGGTGACAAAAATGGGCGATAATATCGCAATTGCTGCCGCAACTTTAGTGTACCTACATTCTGTATCAAAAGAAAAAAAGTAGCAAAAGAAGATTTTGAATGAGCCCAAGTCCACGTCAAGACGTCCAGTCCAGGCGTGATGTTACCAGAATGCTTCAAGAGTTTTCATGTCAGATAGTCTAGGAAATCAGTCATTTTATACGACACCACTCTTATCGAAAACCGTGTTCAAACTGTTGCCCCACTGCCGGCGGCATCGCTGACAAAAAGGCCGCCAGCTTTGATGCGAATGCCGCACACAAAGCCAGCGCCTTAGCCGGGGGCAGTGGGGATCCACCATGAGACATGTCGACCAAATTCTGGCAACGTCGCGCAACTTCACCCAACGTCGCCGGCGACACGTGTCGCAGTACATTTGTGCCCTAGTTTATCCATAGCTTAAATTGGAAAATGTGTTGCTAAGGGCTAAACTCGGGAATGATTGTTTATTATGATAATGTGCGACACCTGGTGGCAAGCGGTCGACGACGGCCTTGGACACCAGAGGAGTTGCAAGTCCTCTTTTTTATGGGATAAGCCGGTAAACGAGCAGACGGACCACCTGATGGTAAGCAATCGGCGTCGCCCATGGACACCTGGAACACCAAAGGCGTTACAAGTGCGTTACCGGCCTTTTTAGGGATTAGGATTTTGAGGATTGTTGGGGATTCAGAGATTTGGACAAAACCATACCAAACCAATTTATATTATAACATCAAAAGAAACAATTTTATCGAAATGCATACAGAAATAAACATACAAACACTGTTTGCTGTTCAATTATTTACCTTAAACAAGGAATCGTTAAAGTCCATATCACTAAAGCAAATAAGAATACCAGAATAATTGGAGTGTCCTGTTGACATGTAGAGTGAAAGTCACACAAATATAATAGATGTGACCTCATTCTTTGATTGTGAACCGAAATATTTGTAGGTATAGATGTATAGTTGTTTCAAGTGTTGGCGAGCCATGCTTCGGCACGAATCGGCCGCCTCGACCGGAGTGATACCACGGCCGAGCAGAAAAGCGACGCGATGTGAAACAATGCTTGCGTTGTTTCGTCGTGTGAGTGAGATTACCGGAGGATCAATAATCTTTACTCTTTCCCTTTCTCAATCCCTGAATCTCCAACAATCCTCAAATTTGGAACCCTTCAGCCGTTTTGACCACATTGAATAACAAACATCAAAGTCAAAATCATTTATTTCAATTAGATCAGAAAGGTACTTTTGAACGTCGAAAAAAAAATTAAAAGGGAAGCTATTTGCTCATTACACTGTGTATCTACGCATTGTAATCTTGCTTCTCCATAGGAATCTTCCTATGGAGAAGAACGAGAAAAAAACTCCATAGGTTTATTTAACTTACTTATGTGAGATCAATTGTACTTAAGATATATTCTTAATATTTAAGATATATTTTTGTATTTTGCAGTTTTGTTATTATGAATAAAGTTTTATTTTATTTTTATTTGTTATTATTTATTTATTTATATATATATACTAGCGGACCCGACAGACTTTGTCCTGCATATCCACTTGAATGTATAAACAAAAATTCATTCAAATTCGTTCAGCCATCTGCCGGGCTGATTTGTGAATC